CATCACTTTCACTTTTTAACATTTCCTAGGAAGGTAAAAAAAAGTAAATATTCAATACCTCCAGGCATTTATATTTTAGAAATAAAGTAAAATAAATAGAAAAAATTTCTTTTTTAATTCACTTAAACGTTTTAAATTCTTAATTCGTGACATTTACAAAATTTCATGACTAATCATTCGATTTTTCCAATTTAATTAACTGACTTCTTACAACAATTAATTTTCGATTTAATTAATTTTTCTTTTTTATATAAAAGTCAATTGTATGGGGGATTTCCAACATTTATTCTCTTTACAAATGCATAAAAAAAAATCGTGTTAAAAATAAAAAATAAAAAATATAATAATTCATAAATTCCGCTTTCTCTTAACTTCCTTGCGTGTAAAGTTGGAAACACACGCGATTCTTCCTTTTGATGTTCCTTGAAATGATTTATGAATTTTATTTCATTAAAAATACTTTTTGAAAACTTTTTCAACTCCTCATTCTTTTCTTTCTTTAACTTTATTGAAAATCGTTACAAATATTTCGTAATGCCGTTGTAAATAATTTAATATCAAGAAATTAGCTCTCATACCGTAAATTAAACAATGATTTAAAAATTAACCATTAAAGAAATCACGTAATTTCTTATACATGTTGATATTTCTTCTTTTTCTCTTCGTACATTATCCATAAAATGTAAATTTTCTTTACAGAAAAGGTAAAAGTTTGACTTTCTTATATCCATAAAAATTTGCTTAATCTTCTCTTCAGCTTCAATAATTTTAGAAAATTTTATTTACAATCGTGGACCCTTTATTATATATATATTTTTTTACTTGATTTCTTAGAAATTTATTTGTTATGTGGATCTTTAAACAGTTCATCTATCAAAAAGAAACTAGATCTTGCTTGTAACTCTGAATTCAAAAGCTGTGACTCTGCTGAATTCAATATTTGTCTCTTCTTACAGATGATTTTTCCCTCCCTCCTTTTCCTTTAAATGTAATTTTTTTCCCCTGTCAGCATTCTGTTGTTGGAAGTTTATTCCACATCATCACAATTTCTATTATGAGATATGTCAATATTATACAAAGAAAAATTAACCCCTTGAAGATTTTTATGATGTCGTTAAAAGAATATCACCAAACTGAACTTTAATTGATTAAGTTTGATTATTTTAATTAAATTATGAAGCAGAAACGTTTTCTGCTAATCATTAAACTTTCATTTTCTCTTATGAAAGAAGGTTTATGTTTGTGGTAGGAAAGAGAAAAAGAACAGAGAAACCATTAAAAAGATTTTGTTGCTGAAGAAAAATGTGGTCTCTAATGGATTTAACCGAATAAAAGATTCTGTTGCTCAAAAACAATGGTTAATCAACTGAATTCATTCGGAATCAAGTGAAAAATTGTACAGTTGGATGAAGGAAGCAATGAAATATGTATGTTGCCTCCTATCCAGTCAATAGCATCAGGCATGCACGATGATTAATCCTAGTTCACTGCAGAATGAATATATTGCTCTCCAAAATGATGTAAGATTTCTTTTCTATAAAAGCAGCAACTCTAATTTATCCGCAATATTATGCAGCACAGAAGAATAAATATAAATGCAAATAGCAGAAATCTGAAGGTAAAATAAAAATATATATACTACATTTAATAGAGGAAAAATAAATAAAACAGCGTGTTAAATCGAAAATTAAAAAGCATATATCTTACATTATACATTTATCCACAAGAAATTGCATAAATTTTCTTTTATTTTTAAGCTATCAAATAAAGAAATGTATCAACAGATGGATAAACATTATAAATATCTTCTTGTATTTTATTTCGTAAAAAATTTATTAATCTAAAGTGTAGAAAAAATGAAGAGGAAGAGTAAAAAACCGGATTTATAAATAAACGAAATGCCATAAAATTCTTGTTTAATTTCTCTACATGTATTATAAAATTGTAGAAGAGGGAGAAGAAAGGCGAATCTTTTTCCAAACTATGCCAAAAATGCTATAAAAAGTTGCATGGTTTCCATTTTCATAATAAGAAAATATAATCCCTATGCGACGCTAGCATTAAAAACATGATCACTCATGAGCTACGTCATCTTCAACTCCAGCCGCATCCAAGGACGTTTATGGTCTTTCGAAGACGTTTATGGCAAATTTGTGTGTCGTAAAATGTCAATTTAGATGATTCTTAGACATTTATTATCTTAATATCCACCAGAATCTTATTATATTATCATTAGTGTTGCGGCTTTAATATGGACAATAATTCTTTTACTACCCACAGCATCTTTGACAAGACTTTAAAATTAAAATAAATGTAATTACATTTAAATTTTTCAAATTAAAATTTGTTAATAGAGAAACTTTATATTAATGTTATAATTATAAGGTATTATTAATATTAATTATTATAAATGTATTGCTTTGACAGATCGGAATTTTAATACTTTTTTTTATCCTGCTGGTGGAGGTGATCCTATTTTATATCAACATTTGTTTTGATTTTTTTGGGCATCCTGAGGTTTATATTTTAATTTTGCCGGGATTTGGAATGATTTCGCATATTGTTAGTCATAATATGGGAAAGAGGGAGCCTGTACTTTAAATATGTCAAATGGAAAAATGACATTAATATAATTAACGAAATTTATAAAAAAGTAATATTTCATTTAATTTGGTTTAATTTTCTTCCGAAAAACAACAGTAGACAATGATGCTCAGACATTGATAAGATAACGTATAACAGATAAACCTCGATTTAGCGCTATCGTTTCACTGAAATCGATACTAAATCGAGTTTGGAACTTAACTGAGTACTGTACAAAATAATTACATAGCTGTCTCTCGATATATCAATCCCCCGATATACCAAACAATTTTGTAGTCTTGCCGTCGTTTAGCTCAGTTCACTATACCGAGAGAACTGCAGAAGACCCTTTCACAAATATTTCCTAGTACTATATGAGGATAACGCTGTACACGACGGCAGTATATCGAGATTCAACTGTTACTTGAATTAATTTTAATTTTTCTCGCCCATTATTATTAAAATTTCGTGTATTTTTGCTTTGAATCACGAAAAACTTATTAATATTTTATAACGTTTAAAATATTCATTTTTTGGAAAATTGGAAAATTTTAAATTAAATATTAATAAGTTTAAATGTCATCAGACGTTTAAAAGTGACATTTACGAGTTCGCTCGGCGCGCTGGAGTCGCGATGGCCTCGCGCCGGCGCGCCGTGTAGTATCTGTAAAATCTACGATTATGCCTTATATTAACGCTTAAAATTAAATATTATTACATTATAATGTTAAAAATATAAAATACATATAAAACGTTGATCAGAAATTATATAATTAAGCATTTTACTAAGCAAAATGCTCGAGTCGCGCATTGGCGCGTCAAAAGTTGTTTTGAATCATCGATGCAATTACCGACAATTACTTAAAAAGCATTATTTTTTAAAATTTATTTAAATGTTATTATATTCAATTTTTAAAATTATTTTTAAAATTTACCTCCATAAACACATTTCGTTCTGAATAAAAAATGAATAAATTACGCGCTAAATGAGCGCAATGTCGCACCGTTGCGTCGCAACGGCATAAACAAAATTCGACTTATTACTAAAAATTATAGCTCAAAATTGATTTATAATATATTTAAATGTTAAAAAGGTTTTCTAATGTCAAAATTGTTTAAAAATTATAAAATTTTAGCTTTTAAATTGAATAAAAACGAACGAATCGCTCTTTTGACGCTTCGGCCCTTAGCGCATCGCGTTTTGATTTTGCATTATAAATGATATTTTTGAAGGTTAGTTATGCTTTATATGCTAACGTGTTACCTTTTATAAATTATTTTCTGTCTAATTTTTAATATTTTTCATAAAAATTTGACCTAGACGCACTAATAATGTCAGAAAACGTTAAAACGAAGGTTCTACTCTACCTCAAATAACGATTTTTCTATGAGCAAATGTAAATATTTCTTCCACAAACAAGAATCTATATTCATCACTAATTTAATAACAATTTTCCAAAGAAAATTGCCTGATATCATCATCAATTTTCCTTATTTTTCTCCATTTTCCGACCATAAAAATAATTTACTTTTTAAATAAAATAATCAATTATTAAGAAATAATTTTATGAAGGCCCATATTAATTTTAATAAATTTTAATAAAAGTTATTTAATATAAAAATATATCTTAATTAAGAGTTTAATTTTTTAAATTTCTTTTTTCTTTATTTTAAATTAAAATTTTTAATTTTTTGCTGATAAGTTCGTGTGTCTGTTCGTACATTCGAACGTTAAAAACTAATTTATTTTTTCTTAATTTTGTATATTTATGTTTATAAATTTTATAAGATAAAATTTACATGTTTTTATTTATTTTTCAATTAAAATTTCGAATTATTTTCGATACGTTCGTATGTAAGCTCGTACCTTAATTAAGAAGTAAACTTTTTTATTATTTTAAAAATGATTTTAATTGACAAATTAAACCAGGAAGAAATTTTTATTCATTTTTAAAATTTAATTAACGATATTTTTTAGGGGTACGTTTGTGTGTCCGTCCTCATCTTAAAGAATAATATCGTTTTATTTTTAATTGTTTTAATGGGAATTTTTATTAATTTTTTAGTTTAAATGTTGGATCTTTGTTTCTTTCGGTTGGTACGTTGTTCTTACTGTAACTTAAAAAATTATGTTTTGTTTTTGTTTATTTTAATTGACAAATTGAACCAGGAAAGAATTTTTATTAATTTTTTTTATGTTTTTTCGTATTTTTTCTGTTTTTTCGGGAATATACATAACAATAAACAGTAGACCTAGGATGGAACAAGTACAGAACATCTCCGCTCCTTTTGTATTGCACGTCGCTTTTTTTTAAATTTTTATGTACAACAAGATCATACAAACACCACAGTCTTTTTTGTTTTTTTTTTCTTTTTAAATTCAATTTTTTTCTAAGGTTCTTAGGAAATAGGCACTGTTTTGTTTATCTTGTAGATGTCCATCACAGAGCCTGTCACCGCATCAAGGCACAGGCCACCATTAATAACATAAAGGGATTTATGAGACTCTTTTGGCTCGGAGCTCGATTTAGAAGGTATTCACATTTACCTATACAAAATAAAAAAAATATATATATATTAATTTAAGTTAAAATAATAAAATATATATTAAAATTATAAGGTAAAAATATAATTTTAATTTGGCCTTCGTCCTCTTTTTAATTAATGAATTTTTGGTTCGGTTTATATGAATGATTAGTAGAGTTTAACAATTTTGCATTTTCTTATTGATGATTGGTTATAATATCAGCATAGCTCACGTAATTGGTCAAATTTAAAAATTCAAAATTATCTTATCGCTGATTGGTCGGAAGCGCGAGTGTGGCTAACGTAATTTGTCAAATTCAAATTTGAATTAGTAGCAACTCAAAACGAACGTATATCGTTTTAAAAGCCCCTAACTTTTGAATAATACGCAACCAAAAAATTTAATTTAAAAAAAAAATTAAACAACTATATAGAATTCCATTACATTGTATATAATTTATATTAGTATTTAATTATAATTTGAGAAAAATTGTCTAAAAATTCAATTAAATTTTCCTGTAGAAGGCTTTTTCGTGCCCTTTTGTTAAGCTTACTGTTAGTTAATGTTTAACACAATTTACCTGCTGCCGTAATGTTAAAAGTGAGGTTCCCTGTAATTCCAGGCATGATACCTCTATGGCATGTGTCATACAATGCTGATAATTTGGTAACAATTCCGTCGATTGTGTACACCTGAAAATACAATTAATTAATTCCACAGATAACAATGGACAGTTCTACATCCTAATTATCGTCAAATTGTAATTAATTCAATTACATTTTTCCGAATTTGCATTGTATGTAGGGATGAAAATGTGATACGTAAACTGTACATCTGTAGCTAGGGCCTACATTTAAGGACTCTTAATGATAGGGAAGGACTTATATAGGGTCATAATAAGTGCATATCCGGCTTGTTCCTGATGTAAAACGACTTACATCATAGTTATAACATCATATATGATAAAGTAAAGAACCACAAAATTAAATTTTGGCAATTTTTGGCTCTTTTTTTTTTGAAGCTACAAGCATCACTCTAGCAGAAGACATGGAAGTGCTAATGCTACAAGTTTTTAAATTTTAATTATATTTTCTTCATATAAAGATGAAATACGAATTATTTCCGAATTATCTCATGATCTAAATTACATAAATTAGGACCCAAGATAACTGAATATTAATATTTATCCTAGCTGCAAACATGTCTTTCAGAGGAAAAAGAATGATGTTGCTGCGTATGAAACGTAATTTTCGTGATGTAATTTTGTTGAAAAATATAATTAGCATCAATAGGAACCAAAAATATTTTAAATTGAATTAAAACTGCATCAAATTTCCTCATTTATTCCTCATAACAGTTACATTAATGCATCACAGAGTAGAAGATTACATTTAAAATTAAAAAAAAACTGAGGGCATCCTTTTAGAGAAAGAAGAGTGATGCTGCTGCGTGTGAAACATAATTTGTATGACACCAATTATATTTTTATGCGAAATTGCATAAACAGAAACCATCATTATGTAAAGTTCATTTAAAATTACATCAAATTTCCTCATTTATCCCTTTACGTCGATGCATCCTAGAAGATTACATATACAATTTTTAAAAAAATACATGGCATATATCACCGAATATTTTGATTAATAATTAAAGTTTTTTTCAATATTTTTTCACATCCAATACATGATTCCATTTCCACTTTTTTGACTTTTCATTTCAGCTAAGTGGAGCGGAACATAAAGGCTTTTGATGTCGAAGAAAACATTAAACGCATCACACCCAAAACATAGAAAGAACTATGGTCATTAGTAGAGTCGATTTAACTAGACAGAACGTAAACCCCCCTCTTAAATTCTTTCATATCTTTGAAAAAGTTTTGTCGACGATGGAATGTTCCATTTTCTTAATGTTATCACTTCACTCCATTTATTGATATTCCACCAAAAGAATGCTCTACTTCATCTTCACTATTGTTATTACTATTTTTTTTTCCTCTCCTCTTCCTCCTCTCGCTTTCTCTCCTCACTCTTACTTGTTATTAAAATTTTAAAATATATATCATATAATGACTTTAATAAAAATTCCTTTAAGCATATAACCTTACTTACAAAACAGTATTTAGTCTTGGAATTTTTAAGTCCAGCAATGAGATAAGTTTTCTCGTTCTCCTCCCACCATCCGTGGCACTGAAATGCTACAAAAAAATTACATTTAAAATAATGTTTACTCTTTATAATTGTTTATTATTATTATTTGAAAGTTTGTACTTTATGGGTGATAAATTTAAGAAAAATGACTAACTCATACGATCTTTAAATGAAGCGCATGTCGTTAAAAATTCTAAAGTATCTTTGCTTCTGCATCCCACCACGTGAGCTGTGCTACCTCTGCAATCTTCTGAACGTAAACTAACTTTTCCTGCATTTATCTTCAATCCATCAGTCTCTACTAACTGAGGGCACACGTCGTTATCGGCTAAGGGTGCTTTAAAAGAAAAACAGAAAGTAAAACAATTTTAGAAACTGAAAAATAAAACAGTTCTTTTTATACGTAACTCCTCCCCCTTCTACTCCACCTTCATTTCCTGCTTTTACTTCTACTCCTCGCCCTCTATTCTTTCCTATCAGTTTTTCCTATTCCTTCTTTCGTATTCTTATTTTACCCACTTATTCCCATTTCTGTTGTTTCATTCTTTCTCAAATTGTTTTTTATCAGCCTTCTCAAACTTATTTTTTACTGCTCCTCACCTCTATTTTTTTCTCCTCTGCTTCTCCTCTTTTCTCAAACTCCTCATTTTTATTTTGTTTTTACTTTTATCATTACTGTCATACCCTTTCTTATCTCCTCCTCATCCCACTCTTTTCTTTTCTTTATCTTTCCATTATTTCCCTCATCTCCTCCCTCATCATCCATCGCTTCTACGTTTTCTTATTTACCTTCATTCTATTTTTATTTTTTCATCTCTTCCTCATCCCATTCTCTTTCTTTTTTATCTTCCATTATATTCCTCATCTTCTCCTCATCCATCGCCCTCCTTTCTCACATATTTTCTTCATCCACCTCATCTTTTCTTATCTCCTCCTCATCCCACTCTTTTTTCTTCATTTCCTCTTCATCGCATCCCCTTTCTCTTCCTTTTTAAACTTTTTTCCCTCATCATTTCCTTCTTATCTTCATCGTCAACAGCATTCTAACTTTCTTACTTATTAATAGTCTCTAGAATATCAAATTAACCTAACAGAAACTTTCAAGATGAAGTTTTAAATAGTTTTTCATCATAATTTTATTTGTTTATTTCCTCTTTGGAAGTTTTATTTAAATTTTATTTTCTAATTCTAAAATTTAATTTTGTTTCGGAGAAAGTATATTTAATACTTTATTAATCATAGCTTGGGGGTGTTTACATCAATGTAACCTTTACTGGGAAAGAAATCCAGAATATATTTAAAATTTTACCTTTTTATCACTAAAACAGGTATTTTTAATTATTAAAAAGAAATTTTCTTATAGAAAAACAAAAATTCCCTTTTTTAAAATGATAATTAGGGAAGAGGGAAAAGGAAAAGATGATAAAATGCTGTTGAATAAAATGAGGAGGGAGAGAGAGAGAGAGAGATAGGGATGAGCTAAATCTAGAATTGAGGAGAAGATTAAGGATATAATGATAGGAAGATGAGACAAAGATGAAAAGATAACTAAGGAGAATAAGAATAGTAGAGGAAAGAAGGTATCATTATTATAGAAGAAGAAATAATAGAGAAGAGAAAGGATGAGTGAAGAAGATAACAGTGAGGAGATGAAACAGAAAAATATAGATGCAAATGAACAAAAGAGTAAGATAAATTTGGAAGATGAGAAAGAGAATTCAACAAAGAAAATGATAAAGAGGATGAGGATTTAATTATGTTCGTTGATATATTGAAGGTCTCGTCCTCATGAAATTCAATTCCATTTAAGTTTAGAAAAAATTCTTTTAGAGAATAACTTTTCACTAGTATATAGTCTATCGAAGACATTTTAAAGGATATATTCTACTTAAAGAAGATCTAGATATGGATAGATATGGAAATTATGGAAAAGTATAAATAAATCTCACATAAATAATAATTTTTTTCTATAAAGGACGATAATTCTTAAATCTAAAATCATTTATTTTGATCTGAAGCTCTAATTTAAAGAAAATTCCTCATCTGAAGAGAAAAATCCCTTTCTTCACTCAGAAAATGTAACTACTCTGAGAATATTTATTATTTTCAAAAAATACAAAATATCCCTTATTTAAAAAAAAATTCCTGATCAAAACGATTAAAATTCTTCAACTAAATAAAAAAAGTTTCTTACAAGAAAATAATTTTCCTGACGTAAGAAAAATTTCTCTAATTTCAAAGTAAAAAATTCTTTAATATAACATTTAAAAATTTTATAATTTACTTATGATTTGAATGTAGTTTTACTTATAAAGATGAGCATTATTTTTTCTTAATTTTTACGAAAAATTTACTGAAATTTTCTCAAAATTTCCCCAATAACTTTCCTGAAAATACATAAACAGCAATGTAAAGTTACTATAGGGCTCTTTAGGATAATTCAGATGTTTCGTATGTAGAAAAGATGTTGACACATAAAAAAAGCATGTTTAAAGAACGCTTGACAATACATTTTTTACTTTAAAAGAAAAATATGTACAGGAAAAAATGAAAAAAGTTCAATAAAGAATCAATATGATGACAAAATTCTTTAAGTGCATTCACGTATACAAGAACATATATATATATTTATTTATGATAACATTTGAACTGAAACAAGAATTTAATCCAGAAAATATTTATATTTTCTATTGAATTATATATTTTTCTACTTTTAAATAAAATTTACATCGAATTTTTCATTAGAATTACATAAAACTCTGACTATTTCTGACTATTTATATGCTCCAATATCTATTGATGATGATGCTGGAAAACGTAGATAAATGGTTGAAGATCTTAATTCCTCTACATCTAGACGATAAATTATTGTTAAAATCAATTAAATTCATTGTTAAATCTACAAAATTATCGTAAAATTTCTTGCTAGAGAAGGAAGAGAACGATTATTTTTTACATTGACGATCAAAATCATCGTGATACCTTAACTGTTATTTTGTGCAGAAGAGGACGAAAATATGGAAATTTCTTAAAGGTCTTTCAGCAAAAATGCATAAAAAAGAATAAAATAACGGTATTATTTACATTTAGTTGAGAAAAATAAAGAAAAAATAGAATGCAATCCGTTGAAATTCATGCAGGAATTATAGTAACGAGATGGGCATTGGAATAAGACAACCAAAAGCAGAAAACTTCAATGAGGGGATCAATAAGATTATGATTGAAAGCATTCAAACCGAGTGGAATAACAAAGCATCTTTCTCTTATTTTTCTCTTTCCCATTCCGGAAGAGATAAAAACAATAAAGAAATTTTAGCATTGCTGGAATGCATCCGAGGAGTATTCTTTAAATAAATAATTAAAATTAAATAAAATTCATCTTAAAAGCACGAAGACATGATAAAGTCAATGATAAAACGTACATTCACAAATAAATTATAATTAAATAACAAGATTTATGAGATCATCAATAAATCAGAGTATCGAGTTACTAATTTTTAACGCGATTTTAAATTAAAGATTTATCTTAAATAATTTTTCTATTGTGATTTTATGAAATTTTACAACTTTCTTTTCTTATAATTTCTAATTTTTCCCCTTTAAATCTGCAGCAAAAATAATAAATTTGTATCAAGAAATTGTGTTTCTTCAACTGTAAAAGATGAGAAAACGAAGGTAATAAATTTTATTTAAGAGGTTTTCTACTGAAGAAAATGTGTAAAAAATAAATTTGTTTTTTGAAATTTTAACTTCATTTTTAATAATTTAATAAAAAGTAAAAAGATTTTACGAGTGTTTTTAATGGTGTTCGAGTAATTAAACATTTAAAAATTGTAGTTTTAAGCATTGGATTTTTGTATAATGCATTCTTCTATAATTATAAGAGATGCGGATTAATGAAGAATTTTATAAAAATAAATAAAGAAATTAAAGTAAACTGCAACATCTTCAGCTTGGTTTTCTGCTTTTTATTGTCAGGAAGTTTTTTCCATTATTTAGTTTATCTTTATCATCAAAGGATGTCTTCACTGTTCGATGGCCTTCATTAACGATTGATGATTACCTTTACTTGTTTGCCTTTATTATGAAAGGATAATTTCCTTTATCTGTTTCCTTTACTGTTAAAGGATGATTCCTTTTTCTGATTCTTTTAACATTAAAAAATGACTTCCCTTAAAAGGTGAGGCCCGTGATTCGATTCCTTTAGTATTAAAGGATGAGAATTTTGATTTGATTCCTTTAGAATAAAAAGATGATGCCCTTGATTTGATTCTTCTTTTTACGTGTTTCTCTGATCTCTGAAGGGTGACTCTATCTGTTTATCTCTATCATCAAATTCTGATCCTCTTTACCTAAATAAATGACAATCATCATTCAATAAAGTAAAGAATAAAGAGTAAAAATCAGCAAAATTTTCATATTTTTCGACTGTAAACATTTCACGTCAACAGAACTCTCTCGTTTTTTTTCCTAACAAATAATAATAATAAAAGTAAACAAGATCCACGAAGTTACCCACATTTCTGTTGGATAAAGTTTAAGAAAAAAACGTTTTGATACAATTTATTCATTTAAAAATAAAAAGAAAAAGATAAATTTTAAAGTAGAATTTGAAAATTTTTCCATCCTTTTGAATGGTGAAAGTAAATTAACGTTATCTTTCCTAAGGAGAGATGATGATCCCCCGTTTCTAATTTTCTCTTTCTTTACAACAAGAGGAGAGAAAGATTCTTTAGAAGTGTATACCTTAATTATTCTCATAATAATCTTAACAACTTAGTGTAAAATACCTCTTATAAAATAATTTCAAAGAGAAAATTAAAGTAAAATTTAGATTAAAAAAAACTAACGTATCTCTAGGATAAACACTTACCAACTAGAGTTGTAAACTCTGCTTTACTTTTATAATAGTGCGATTGGCACGCATCTTGTAATCTTCTAGTTTTCTCTCCTTTAAAAGAACACTTAAAACTTTTAAAATTTAATTAAAATATTATATTTTTGCTAATTATATCATTTTAATTTAATTATTATTAAAGAAATCTTTCCTCTAACATCTCGAGTTTAATTGATAAGAAAAATGAGCTCTTATTAATTAAACTCGATCGCCTTGCACTCTAGAAAGAGAGCAACGAATTTTATATTTTTCTAAAGATTAAATTTAAAGTTTATTCCAGATTTTTATATAAACTTTTACCTGTTTCCAGTTCAACAATGTTTGCATCTCTTTGATAGAAAACCAGGCACATATATCCATTGGAACTGGAAGTAAATAATTTTATATGGATGTAATTTCCATAAATTTGTGTAGAATATATTGAAAAGTATAAATACAGCGTTAGGAATTGCTGCATAAAGTATATTTATGTATAGTACAGAACTCACAAATACTTTCTTCTTACCCAGATAAACTCATTCTATCAGCATCTATCTTCTCCGGAAGATGCTGTTTCTCTTATCCTAATTACACTATTACTCTCATCCTGGTCAGTTTACTACTTACCCTGATTACACTTGTTATTTTATTCTAATTATATAACTATATTTATCCTGATCAAAAATATAAATTTATCATAAATGATAGTACTATTTATCCACTAACCTCCTAGACTAACTTATGTACAAACCTCCATATGATACCTTAATCTTTCTAATTATATCTTGTAGTTAGCCTGCAGATAATGTTACATTTTACCTTTACCATCCTCTGCTCTTGCTTATCTTGCACTTCCTGTTGTCTAATTTAGAAGAGCAATCCCTATTCTTACTTAATCTTTCAGTTCTTGCTTACTCCCATTTTACAATTCCCACTCTTAATTAATCTTGTAGTCCCTACTCTTGCCTACTTTGCAATTTCTGCTCCTATATTCTTGTGCTTCCTATGAGATTAGTAGAATAGGAATTTAATCTTGATCTTGCCCATTCTTTCTACTCATAAATTCTTGCTTTCTGTTCTTACTTAGAGTAAAAAAGATTAATTGAAAGACTAGAAAGTGCAAGTTAAGTGCTCTTCCTACTCATGCAACTCCTATTTTCATCAAACTTACAAGAGCAGTCTTTTTGTACTTATTGTTACTTCTCTCTTTTGCTATTTCACTTTTTACTTACACCCATTTTACAATTTCTAATATTGATTAACCTTATCTTCATTCCTATTTTTGCTAATCTCCCTACCCTTAAGCTTCTACTTTCTACACTTTGTAATTCTACTCCTACATTCTTTTATTTTCTATACAAATAAAACAGAAGAAAGTAAAAGTAGGAATTTAATCATTCAACTCATAAGCTTTTACTTTCTCTTCTTAGTTAGAGAAGAGTAGGAAGAGCAAGATAAATTTTGTACTTCTTAACTCATTATGTATTTCCTACTCTCTCCTAATCCTCAACCTTTAATTCTTTATGCTATACGCTTAAAAAATCTCTTCAAAATTATAATTTCTTATAAAATTTATCCGATTTTTCATAATTTAACCTATAAAATCACATAAAATAATTCTTGATATACACAGTATGTCCATTCTCCAAACATAATTTCCGCTACAAACCGTTAAAAGAATTGGAAAAAATCAATTAAATAAGGATATTAATTTACATAAATTGCATCTGTTTTAGCTACAAATATCTGTGATTTCAATAGACACGCGAACGATTTCCATTTTTTTTTTTTTTTGTTTTTTTTCTGTTTCAGAAAAAAAATCTCCATCACTATCAATTATCAGAATTACACGCAATGGTGCATTGGGTGGAGCATTATTCAGAACATATGTCAAAGTCCACTCAACAGATATGTATATAAATATGTAGTGTACAGTGTATACACAGAATTGTAAACTATAGATTTTAACAAAAAAATCTCTCTTCTTAACATGCAGATTAGTTGTAGATATGTTAATCACCTTCCTGGAACATAATTCATTAATTCTTCTCGTGTTTTTAACCTTTTTTAAATATTTTAATGTTATAAAATTTTAAAATTTATAAATTTAAACGATTAAAATTCCGCTTTAATTACAGTTTTTAGTAGTTTATCAATATTTTACGAAGGTTTCTTATATTTGCAATATGGAGGACCTTCAGGGCAAGTAATTTATTTCACTCACGTTTTTAACCGTTTTTAAATATTTGAACGCGATAAATGCTTAAAATNACGTAGTCAAATATCTAAACAGCGGACATTGACGGAGACATTACAAAATGGCTGTCGTTTGGAAGTTATAATGTATGCTGAAAAACAAGGCCGTCATTGGGAGGTGGCCGTTTTTATAAATTCGGCTGTATTAGTTTTACTGTCAATAGAATCATCATAAATAGCATTGCCTTTGCCATTGTATTTATTCATGGCTTTCCATATACAAGTTGGCCTAAAAATCAGTTAACCGTTTATATTTTATTATTTCTTTTACATTCCAGCTCTGTCTTTACGTGGTCAGTTAACTTTTGGATAAAAATAATATATCCTTATTATCGTTATATATATATCCTTATTATTATATATATATATATCCTTATTATATATAATATCCTTATTATCGTTCACAGAACGATAATAAGGATATTATATTATTTTTAATGTAAAAATCCTACTTGCAAATACTTCTAAGATTATTCGCAAGCAGGAAATGCAGCATAATTTCAGGAATGCAGAGTTCTTTTTAAGGAAACAATACAGAGAGTTACTCTACAATTTTTGCTTTTTAGTGTGACGAATTCCATTTGGAATTGTTTCAAAATTGTAAATCTTGTAAATATTCTTTTCAAGCATCGATTTGGCAACTTATCTTCTTCTTCTTCTTCTTCTCCACTTGCCAATAATTGATCTCTTTTAGGAGTAAACTGAAGATTACTATCAGCTTTACCAATATCTATTAATTATAATAAGATAAAAGATGATAATTAAAGACAAGTGAAAATTATTTTCAAAAATATCTCATAATATAAATAAAACATAAATAACTGTTTTAATTAAGCTTAAAGATTTTAAGGAAGAAAACAGAGTATCTGGAACAGACTCGTCAATAGTGATAATAATATCCAGATAAGATGAAAAACATCAATATTAATATTACTATTATGAGAAAAGTTAACATCTTCATTTATATAATACCAATCATCAGGAGAAACAAAATCAATATTTGCATTATCATTATCATAGCTACAGCATCATTAATATTATCGTAATAAGTAGCAACAACAGCATTTGTAGTATCAACTGTAGTATCAGCAGCCAAATCATCATCTCTATATAATATCATTCTGCCCAATGTATCATCTATCCTTCAATATCATCTTATTATCACAACATTAATATCGGTGTTATCACGAACAGAGACAGAATTCGATGTTGACATCGTAAATAAGAGTAGCAGCAACAACAGAGAGCGTATCTCTATAATATTATCCCTCAAATAATATAACCCCATGTATTCATATTCAGTATTATTTTATTTTTAAAGTTACATTAATATTATCATTAATATCAATAAAACCAGACTTCAGTGATGGCATTATTTTCATCATCAAAACGTCACCGCGAGTATCATCATTATCAGAACGCAATCAAAATATCATCCTTTTCTTCCTCCTCCTCATTATCAGTGACAACAAAAGTAGCATCAACAGCATCATTATCAAAACGTCATCGCAAATCGCATTTCCAATCATCCAACACTTCAAAAATTAAAATTAAAATAAATGTAATTACATTTAAATTTTTCAAATTAAAATTTGTTAATAGAGAAACTTTATATTAATGTTATAATTATAAGGTATTATTAATATTAATTATTATAAATGTATTGCTTTGACAGATCGGAATTTTAATACTTTTTTTTATCCTGCTGGTGGAGGTGATCCTATTTTATATCAACATTTGTTTTGATTTTTTTGGGCATCCTGAGGTTTATATTTTAATTTTGCCGGGATTTGGAATGATTTCGCATATTGTTAGTCATAATATGGGAAAGAGGGAGCCTGTACTTTAAATATGTCAAATGGAAAAATGACATTAATATAATTAACGAAATTTATAAAAAAGTAATATTTCATTTAATTTGGTTTAATTTTCTTCCGAAAAACAACAGTAGACAATGATGCTCAGACATTGATAAGATAACGTATAACAGATAAACCTCGATTTAGCGCTATCGTTTCACTGAAATCGATACTAAATCGAGTTTGGAACTTAACTGAGTACTGTACAAAATAATTACATAGCTGTCTCTCGATATATCAATCCCCCGATATACCAAACAATTTTGTAGTCTTGCCGTCGTTTAGCTCAGTTCACTATACCGAGAGAACTGCAGAAGACCCTTTCACAAATATTTCCTAGTACTATATGAGGATAACGCTGTACACGACGGCAGTATATCGAGATTCAACTGTTACTTGAATTAATTTTAATTTTTCTCGCCCATTATTATTAAAATTTCGTGTATTTTTGCTTTGAATCACGAAAAACTTATNAAGAGAAAAATCCCTTTCTTCACTCAGAAAATGTAACTACTCTGAGAATATTTATTATTTTCAAAAAATACAAAATATCCCTTATTTAAAAAAAAATTCTAATACTTATTTATATAAATATTTCATGTTTAATACTCTTATGTAATAAGTTTGATGTTGATGATACTTTGTAGTTTATATAACAGAGAAATTTGTTTAAATTATATAGGCCTACACACAAGGCCTGAAAGTAATTAAAGAGAGGCCCTATCCAATTACAAATATTGGCTCCCACATCTGTAAACTAAAAAATATATTAAAAAAATCTAGCAATGAGTTGCGTAACTTTACTGGCAAAATAAATTAAAATGGAGTGTAGCGTCATCTGTTATACGATTTTATTAAATAAACTTTTTATATAATTAATTATTAAAGTGGCAAAAAGCTTAATTTTGAAGGTAGAGAAAAATTTTATAAAAAGAATTGTAAATGCTAACAAGGAATAAAATCTTTATCAAATCTGACCCCAATCGAGATGCGGCACGTGACCCCTCTTTCTCTATATCCCCTCGACCTTTAACAGCATCATTGCTGTTAAAGGTCGAGGGGATATAGAGAAAGAGTATCATTGTCTCTAATATACAAACTTCCCTGCATTATTTCGGAAATTTTCGACTAGGGGAATCATTTTCCAACCGATTGCCATGTTTTTCCTCTGTTACTTGTATATATAACAGCCGGAAAGTAATGTCATTAAATAGTTTTTCAAAAGTCTTTAATTTAAACTAGTTTTTATGCCATATTTTTACATAAAAGACTAAATTGTGGTTCCTGCTTA